TTTCAACCATATTCTAGATTGTAGATGATACACTGCATGATGGAGCTCCTCCAGAGGCAAAGTTCGAGGTAGAGTTTGATTCTGAGGACGAACCGGAGCCATTACCATTGAGGGTAAGACCCTTTGATCCAACGAGATACCACTCCCAGACACATATCCTGCCTGCTAGAGGTATTAGACGCTTTACTGATTTTGCTCCTGGCGTACCGGAGGATCTCTTACTGAGGAAGCCAGCCTTGCATCTTTCAGCCATTGTCGTTGAGGTATGAGCTCTACCCATCGTATTTAAGTTGCATTTCTTGCACTGTCTTTCATCTGACTATACTTTCATAACTGCTTTATCTGATTCATCTCTAACTAATATGTTTGTGTCTTTTCTTTGCCACAAGGTGAGTCTCGCGCCTTCAGGGGCTACAGTGCTACGACTGTACAGGACTATAGTATGACGAGCTCCCTGCAGGAGTACGCCACATCGTCAACAGGGCTGGCTTCGGCCTTTTCTACTCTAGCCTGACGAGAGTTATAGCTAGTCGTCCTCTTCTAGGGGCTCTTATGGTGAGATGGTTGGACACCACCAACTCTCTCCACTTCTCCACAGTTGGGGAGATAATGATGACTCCCTATAACTTTTCCATGATCACTGGCTTAGGCGTAGGGGGCAATCCGATCCCTCTTGATACAGACATGGGAGAGTGGGAGGCAGCTTGGGTCGAGCTATTGAGGACGCGCCCACCTTTGTACTAGCCAGACATGGTTAAATATAGTTAGTTCGTGAAGCAGTTCCGGGGGACTAAGCCAGAGACAATTGAGGAGACAGAGCGGTATGCCAGGGGTTTTCTGATGTTCCTCCTCGGTACCACCTTGTTTGTGAACAGGGAAAACACCATAGGATTATACCTACTGAGCATATTTGTGACCCTTTCCTGGGTGAGTTCCTATGATTGGGGTGGAGCAGGCCTCACCACTCTATACGACTATATGAGTTCGACCTCCTGCCTGAGGAGAGACTTGATCGGAGGCTACTGGTGAGCCTGGGAGGTACACATCTCAGTTCCCTCTTTGCACTATACACTTTCTGTTCAACATTTCCTGCTTTGTATCTATTTAACACATGTGCTTTCTGCTTTGCACTTTCTGCATCTGTTTATGTTGTATGCTTTCTGCTTTACACTTTCTATATCTGTTCAAATTCATGCTTTCTACATCTGTTCAAATTCATGCTTTCTACTTTGCATTTTCTGCATCTATTCAAATTCATTATTGATCACATATCACTACACTTTCCTTGCAGCTATGGTTATATGCTTATTTTCCGACTCTAGCCCTAGTGCTTGTAGTGGAGCTTCCATTGACAGTCCCTTAGTCACGGAGATATGACGGTCGGCTCCACCGTAGGACCCGCAAGCCCTTCTCATTCTTCAGGCACTACTTTGACACGGTAGCTACTCATGAGGTAACCCAAAACATAGTCATTTTTGTCTTACAATTGTTCTGATTCACATATTAGCAACTGACAATGGCTAATAATATGTTCACCTTCTACTTGCAGATCATGTGACAGCCATGGGCCACAATGCTGACAGGGATTCAGGGCCAGTATAATATGGCATGGGGCATTTCTTGTTATCGCATTCTACTCAAGGGCCCAGTTTGCCGAGCTTGGTTCCTGGGCGAGCGAGTCATGCGTCAAACCATGGGCTTGCCTACTCCGATCATACCGGTGGCACCACCAGAGTCCATGAGATCAGCAGACAACCTATCTGCTAATGAGGTCATTCAGTTCATGGTAGGCTTGGAGGCAGACTACTTCCGAGTTGAGGGCGATTATACAGTCTTCATTCAGACATACCTTATGCCACCTTTGACCGGTGTTCGTCGGGGTGAGGGAATGAGAGCTCCTGCTGCGAGGGTGGCGCCTAAAACGACTTGGGCGACCAGGGCCCGTGGGAGAGGGGTTTCTCGAGCGGGGGAGATGACTGGTTGGCCAGAGCTTCCCACTACACTTACATGTTGGCAGCATACCGGGAAGGCTTACCAGATCCCTATTGAGCCTGCACCGGTCGGGCATGAGCTTGCCAGGGTTCGAGGCCCGACTCCAGCATGTACCACAATTTACGTTTTGCATGCCTTATTTCATTTCAATTATGTTTATAGCACACTGATCACCTCAACACACTTGCAAGCATCTATAGAGTACACCTGGGATGCTCTCGAGCTGGCGGCTTCCCTGATGGGGATGGTGTAAAGAAACATGAGCCTGCTCAGTCTCTACGATATTCAGGTAACTTTCTTCAGTTTACGCTTCATGCTATCAATCTTTCTGCTGATACACTAGCATTTCAACTATAATCTATTCCACATTGTAGTGATCTGATACACTGCATCTTATACATTGCACTCAAATACTGCATTCATACACTGTACTCACACATTGTATTTGACTTCTACCTACATTCATGCTACATACCATGCTTATATCTGATACATACACTGAAACTGATATATTGACAACTGTCCTTTACAAATCCCAGATATACCGGGTGCACCAGCGGGAGTAGCACCAAGACCAGTAGTACCTCCTCCAACAGTAGGGGGGAGAGGGAGACGGGCTCTAGTACGCAGCCGAGGCAGAGCCAGAGGCACCTAAGATGAGAGTGGTCCTTTAGAGCCTATTCTGAGCAATGACGACGCCGGGACGAATGGCTCCGATAAGGCAGTGAGTCCATAGTCTGAGTCCTCTGAGAGTGGAGATGACGGCGACTCTAGATCTGAGAGTGGATGTGATGCTGAGCTGGGTTCTGAAGCAGAGAGCGGTGATGATTTCGGTTCTGGTTCAGACAGTAGTGTAGATGGAGATAGCTCTAAGTCCCCGCCCAAGAAGAGGACAAAGGACAAAACCACTCAAATAAAACTCAACAAACTTGCTAAAACTAGAAGGACTCAAAACAAGACCTTAACATGCATAAAAAATAGAACAAAACACATGCCTTCAGCATTCTCAGCACACAGGTGGACAACAGGACAGACAAGAAGGATGTCGGCCATTAGTGGTGGCCGGTCAGCTACCAAAGTGGCCTGTTGGCCATCACCGATAGCCGGTCGACCATTAATGTGAGGAACCTCCAGATTGCTGCCACCTGGCTTCCACTCACTGCCTTATCTTCTACAAAAGGTTGAGCTTCGTGATTTCTTCATTTCAGCTACAAATTCTTCACAAATAGAGCCTTTCTTTGCCCAAAAACTCTCGAATTGGATTACAACTTTAGATGGCTCGGAAAAGCTAAATTTTCGGGATTTCGGCATAAATGCACTATTCTCGCTGAGTCATACTCCACTTCGTTTTCTATTCCTACATGCCGCAGCTAGATGTTGGAACCCGATTACACACATCTTTAGCCTCAGGGGACAAGAGGTATGCCCAGCAATCGAAGAATTTCAAGTACTAATGAAATCCCGACGTGACGGGGAAATTCTACCTCAATCCGGTTTTGGTCACATCCAAGCTTTGGGACGAATGTGCGGGCTTACTCTACACGAGGCTAGATCCTTGGTTCACAACAGTGAGCTGGACATTCCTAGCCTAATCCATCGATTTTCTGAAGCCAATGACTGAGGCGACCTTCTTTAGCGGGGTTTTCGACAATGCGCCCTCTGCTTGTGCATGTTGGCTCATTTCCTTCTTGCCCTTAGTTTTGGAGGGTCTAGCATTCAACTAGTCGAAGTAACTCAAGGTTTGAAAGAGGGCAAGAATTGCATTGGTTTGGTCTTGGCCGAGACTTTGATGGGCTTAGACGCCTTTCATCCGCGAAAGCTTACCAAATTCACGAGAAGTCCACTACTCCTTCAGATAATGTTTCCCACCCATCTCATATGTGTTTCTCACATCACTCGGCAATCATGCTCTATTTTTCTCTCAAAGCCCTTTTCTCACTCTTTTCTCAACATATACCTCTCTATTCTTTAATTTCTCTTTTTTTTATCCCTCCCCAAATATGGCTTATGGACAAGCTGAAGGTAGTGGATTCTTGCCTTGCATACTCAGCTCGAGCATACTTTTTCTGCTAACAACTAATGGATTTCCCAAATGAGGGATGGTGGTGCCAATGGATGTGCAACAGGTCCGCCGTTGACATTGTTTGGCATTGCCCCTAGCTTGATTTGCCCGCAATGTGTTACAGCATGACTCAGTAACCTGGCATTCAGTTGATCGGCCAGACACATTGTGTATTCTACTTTCCATTCCGGTTCAAGCGTCTTTGAACATGATCAGACTTGCCTAGAGGAGGGGGTAGAGTACCCGGTTTCATTCCCCATTCGAGGTTCACACTTGGCTAGATACCTCACTGCTTGGAGGACAAGAGAGCTTCTGGCTCCTGCCCCTAGTTTCAACTATGCACTTTCTGGCGAGTGCCTGACTTAGCTTGAAGATGAGGCGCAATCCGGGCCCATTTTAGCATCAGAAGCTTCCACAAGCACAAGCGGGGGACGTAGGAGCACCTGATTCATCTGTACCCCTAGTTTATTACTTTGATCTTTACTTTTCAAGTTTTATGAATGTAATAAAAGCAACTTTGATTTGTATCGAGAGTTGGAGAACTTTTATTGAAATCAATGAAATTAAAGTTGTGAGCACTAAAAATTTTCCTTTTGGTCCAAAAATGGTCGAAGTTGTAAAAGGTAAAATTTGAGTAAACATCAACTTTTATCAAAACTTTTCAAAACCATTTTCGATAAGGATCACCACTTGACACGCGCGGAATCTATCCTCGACATGTACAACCCCGAATCCAAAGATAACAAATTACCCCTTGTCTGAACAACACTGCTCAGCATTGTAACCAGTTTTCACAGAAGATCAAAACCAAACTCTCAGATAAAGAACGGATAAAGATGACCTGGTAAACACATGGACAGGACAGTTGAGTTGGAGGTGTTTATGGCCGAACTTCTATTAGACGCTTTACTGATTTTGCTCCTGGCGTACCGGAGGATCTCCTACTGAGGAAGCCAGCCTTGCATCTTTCAGCCATTGTCGTTGAGGTATGAGCTCTACCCATCGTATTTAAGTTGCATTTCTTGCACTGTCTTTCATCTGACTATACTTTCATAACTGCTTTATCTGATTCATCTCTAACTAATATGTTTGTGTCTTTTCTTTTCCACAATGTGAGTCTCGCGCCTTCAGGGGCTACGGTGCTACGACTGTACTGGACTATAGTATGACGAGCTCCCTGCAGGAGTACGCCACATCGTCAACAGGGCTGGCTTCAGCCTTTTCTACTCTAGCCTGACGAGAGTTATAGCTAGCCGTCCTCTTCTGGGGGCTCTTATGGAGAGATGGTTGGACACCACCAACTCTCTCCACTTCTCCACAGTTGGGGAGCTAATGATGACTCCCTATAACTTTTCCATGATCACTGGCTTAGGTGTAGGGGGCAATCCGATCCCTCTTGATACAGACATGGGAGAGTGGGAGGCAGCTTGGGTCGAGCTATTAAGGATGCGCCCACCTTTGTACCAGCCAGACATGGTTAAATATAGTTGGTTCATGAAGCAGTTCCGGGGGACTAAGCCAGAGACAATTGAGGAGACAGAGCAGTACGCCAGGGGTTTTCTGATGTTCCTCCTCGGTACCACCTTGTTTGTGAACAGGGAAAACACCATAGGATTATACCTACTGAGCATATTTGTGACCCTTTCCCGGGTGAGTTCCTATGATTGGGGTGGAGCAGGCCTCACCACTCTATACGACTATATGAGTTCGACCTCCCGCCTGAGGGGAGACTTGATCGGAGGCTACTGGCGAGCCTATGAGGTACACATCTCAGTTCCCTCTTTGCACTATACACTTTCTGTTCAACATTTCCTGCTTTGTATCTGTTTAACACATGTGCTTTCTGCTTTGCACTTTCTGCATCTGTTTATGTTGTATGCTTTTTGCTTTACACTTTCTATATCTATTCAAATTCATGCTTTCTACATCTGTTCAAATTCATGCTTTCTACTTTGCATTTTCTGCATCTATTCAAATTCATTGTTGATCACATATCACTGCACTTTCCTTGCAGCTATGGTTATATGCTTATTTTCTGACTCTGGCCCTAGTGCTTGTAGTGGAGCTTCCATTGACAGTCCCTTAGTCACGGAGATATGACGGTCGGCTCCACCGTAGGACCCGCAAGCCCTTCTCATTCTTCAGGCACTACTTTGACACGGTAGCTACTCATGAGGTAACCCAAAACATAGTAATTTTTGTCTTACAACTGTTCTGATTCACATATTAGCAACTGACAATGGCTAATAATATGTTCACCTTCTACTTGCAGATCATGTGACAGCCATGGGCCACAATGCTGACAGGGATTCAGGGCCAGTATAATGTGGCATGGGGCATTTCTTGTTGTCGCATTCTACTCAAGGGCCCAGTTTGCCGAGCTTGGTTCCTGGGCGAGCGAGTCATGCGTCAGACCATGGGCTTGCCTACTCCGATCATACCGGTGGCACCACCAGAGTCCATGAGATCAGCAGACAACCTATCTGCTAATGAGGTCATTCAGTTCATGGTAGGCTTGGAGGCAGACTACTTCCGAGTTGAGGGCGATTATACAGTCTTCATTCAGACATACCTTATGCCATCTTTGACCGGTGTTCGTAGGGGTGAGGGAATGAGAGCTCCTGCTGCGAGGGTGGCGCCTAAAACGACTTGGGCGACCAGGGCCCGTGGGAGAGGGGTTTCTCGAGCGAGGGAGATGACTGGTTGGCCAGAGCTTCCCACTACACTTACATGTTGGCAGCATATCGAGAAGGCTTACCAGATCCCTATTGAGCCTGCACCGGCCGGGCATGAGCTTGCCGGGGTTCGAGGCCCAACTCCAGCATGTACCACAATTTACGTTTTGCATGCCTTATTTCATTTCAGTTATGTTTATAGCACACTGATCACCTCAACACACTTGCAAGCATCTATAGAGTACACCTGGGATGCTCTCGAGCTGGCGGCTTCCCTGATGGGGATGGTGTAAAGAAACATGAGCCTGCTCAGTCTCTACGATATTCAGGTAACTTTCTTCAGTTTACGTTTCATGCTATCAATCTTTCTGCTGATACACTAGCATTTCAAGTGTAATCTATTCCACATTGTAGTGATCTGATACACTGCATCTTATACATTGCACTCAAATACTGCATTCATACACTATACTCACACATTGTATTTGACTTCTACCTACATTCATGTTACATACCATGCTTATATCTGATACATACACTGAAACTGATATATTGACAACTGTCCTTTACAAATCCCAGATATACCGGGTGCACCAGCGGGAGTAGCACCAAGACCAGTAGTACCTCCTCCAACAGTAGGGCGGAGAGGGAGACGGGCTCTAGTACGCAGCCGAGGCAGAGCCAGAGGCACCTAAGATGAGAGTGGTCCTTTAGAGCCCATTCTGAGCAATGACGACGCCGAGACGAATGGCTCCGATAAGGCAGTGAGTCCATAGTCTGAGTCCTCTGAGAGTGGAGATGACGGCGACTCTAGATCTGAGAGTGGATGTGATGCTGAGCTGGGTTCTGAAGCAGAGAGCGGTGATGATTCCGATTCTGGTTCGGCATCTGGTTCAGACAGTAGTGTAGATGGAGATAGCTCTAAGTCCCCGCCCAAGAAGAGGACAAAGAGGACATCTCGAGCCTGAGATGGCTGGCGCTGATTTTCTATATTTTTGCTTAGTTTCTTTTGTTAGTAGTGTTAGCACATTGTATAGTTTCAAACAGGTTTTATTTTCTTTAAAAACTTGTACTGCACTTTTGTAAAAACAACCATGATCAAAATGAAAACTAGTTTTCATTTGAAAAAGTGTTGTATTTTTGCATCATGAGCACCACATTGCATGAAAACGAGATTGATTTTGATAATGAAAATCGAACACTTGTATTGGCATGACGTTTTTAATCGGATAATGAACCGACCAACAAGTAACAAACAAAGTAATACAACTTGATAATCCAAATAGCAACAACTCGATAAACAACAAAACAACTTGATAAACAAAAAAACTCGATAAACAAGACAAAACCACTCAAATAAAACTCAACAAACTTGCTAAAACTAGAAGGACTCAAAACAAGACCTTAACATGCATAAAAAATAGAACAAAACACATGCCTTCAGCATTCTCAGCACACAGGTGGACAACAGGACAGACAAGAAGGATGTCAGCCATAATAGAGGTTGTCGGCCATTAGTGGTGGCCGGTCAGCTACCAAAGTGGCCTGTTGGCCATCACCGATAGCCGGTCGACCATTAATGTGAGAAACCTCCAGATTGCTGCCACCTGGCTTCCACTCACTGCCTTATCTTCTACAAAAGGTTGAGCTTCGTGATTTCTTCATTTCAGCTACAAATTCTTCACAAATAGAGCCTTTCTTTGCCCAAAAACTCTCGAATTGGATTACAACTTTAGATGGCTCGGAAAAGCTAAATTTTCGGGATTTCGGCATAAATGTACTATTCTCGCTGAGTCATACTCCACTTCGTTTTCTATTCCTACATGCCGCAGCTAGATGTTGGAACCTGATTACACACATCTTTAGCCTCAGGGGACAAGAGGTATGCCCAACAATCGAAGAATTTCAAGTACTAATGAAATCCCGACGTGACGGGGAAATTCTACCTCAATCCCGTTTTGGTCACATCCAAGCTTTGGGACGAATGTGCGGGCTTACTCTACACGAGGCTAGATCCTTGGTTCACAACAGTGAGCTGGACATTCCTAGCCTAATCCATCGATTTTCTGAAGCCAATGACTGAGGCGACCTTCTTTAGCGGGGTTTTCGACAATGCGCCCTCTGCTTGTGCATGTTGGCTCATTTCCTTCTTGCCCTTAGTTTTGGAGGGTTTAGCATTCAACTATTCGAAGTAACTCAAGGTTTGAAAGAGGGCAAGAATTGCATTGGTTTGGTCTTGGCCGAGACTTTGATGGGCTTAGACGCCTTTCATCGGCGAAAGCTTACCAAATTCACGAGAAGTCCACTACTCCTTCAGATAATGTTTCCCACCCATCTCATATGTGTTTCTCATATCACTCGGCAATCATGCTCTATTTTTCTCTCAAAGCCCTTTTCTCACTCTTTTCTCAACATACACCTCTCTATTCTTTAGTTTCTCTTTTTTTTATCCCTCCCCAAATATGGCTTATGGACAAGCTGAAGGTAGTGGATTCTTGCCTTGCATACTCAGCTCGAGCATACTTTTTCTGCTAACAACTAATGGATTTCCCAAATGAGGGATGGTGGTGCCAATGGATGTGCAACAGGTCCGCCGTTGACATTGTTTGGCATTGCCCCTAGCTTGATTTGCCCGCAATGTGTTACAGCATGACTCAGTAACCTGGCATTCAGTTGATCGGCCAGACACATTGTGTATTCTACTTTCCATTCCGGTTCAAGCGTCTTTGAACATGATCAGACTTGCCTAGAGGAGGGGGTAGAGTACCCGGTTTCATTCCCCATTCGAGGTTCACACTTGGCTAGATACCTCACTGCTTGGAGGACAAGAGAGCTTCTGGCTCCTGCCCCTAGTTTCAACTATGCACTTTCTGGCGAGTGCCTGACTTAGCTTGAAGATGAGGCGCAATCCGGGCCCATTTTAGCATCAGAAGCTTCCACAAGCACAAGCGGGGGACGTAGGAGCACCTGATTCATCTGTACCCCTAGTTTATTACTTTGATCTTTACTTTTCAAGTTTTATGAATGTAATAAAAGCAACTTTGATTTGTATCGAGAGTTGGAGAACTTTTATTGAAATCAATGAAATTAAAGTTGTGAGCACTAAAAATTTTCCTTTTGGTCCAAAAATGGTCGAAGTTGTAAAAGGTAAAATTTGAGTAAACATCAACTTTTATCAAAACTTTTCAAAACCATTTTCGATAAGGATCACCACTTGACACGCGCGGAATCTATCCTCAAGATGTATAACCCCGAATCCAAAGATAACAAATTACCCCTTGTCTGAACAACACTGCTCAGCATTGTAACCAGTTTTCACAGAAGATCAAAACCAAACTCTCAGATAAAGAACGGATAAAGATGACCTGGTAAACACATGGACAGGACAGTTGAGTTGGAGGTGTTTATGGCCGAACTTCAGAATGAAGTATCCAACGTATCTCGAAGATGGGAATCAGGCCTTACATAGTTCGGTTCAGGTTCACTTGAGTATTAACGCTCTCCTTTTGCACTTTAACTTTTTCCAAGGCCGCCTTTTAGGGTTTTCAACCTTGCGAGCTCAGTTTTTCTTTATTTCCAATTTTTTTTATGCTCTAACTTTTGCCTAGTTCGCCCTTCTAGGTTTTCAGCCTAACGAGCCTCTCAGGGATAGTATTTCTTCAACTTGTCCATGTTGATTGGTTGAGAAAATTCTAGGTCATCCAAGTCCATAAGAATAATAACTCCACCTGACCAGATAGTTTTGATGATATAAGGACCAGTCCAATTGGGTCTGAACTTGCCCCTAGGGTCGTAAATGGGAGCTTGGTTATCTTTCAGCACCAAATCCCCTTCTTTGAGATTCTTGGACTTAACCTTTTTGTTAAAAGCCCTGGTAATCCTACGTTGATAACCCTGAACATGATACAATGCTTTCAACCTTCTCTCATCGAACAACATCAGTTCTTCGAACCTGCTCTACTGCCAATCCGCCTTTGCTATTTGACGCTCAGCCATGACTCGCAGTGATGGGACTTCTATTTCAATTGGTAGAACAGCCTCCATACCATAAAGAAAAGAGTAGGGAGTTGCCCCTGTAAACATCCGTATTCGAAGTTCTATAGCCCTAGAGTGCAAATGGCAATTTGTCTGGCCAGTCCTTGTAGGTCTCAACCATCTTCTGCAGAATATGCTTGATGTTCTTGTTGGCGACCTCAATAGTTTCATTGGTTTGTGGCCGGTATGTGGATGACTTATGAAAAGCCACCGTGTATTTGTCCAACAAGTCAATCACTTCTTTCTTGAATTGGGGGCCATTATCTGAGATGATCTTGTTTCGGACTCCATATCGGCAAATGATGTTATTTTGGATGAACTTAGCCACATGTGATGCTTTCAACACTGTATAAGACTGAACTTCCACCCACTTTGTAAAGTAGTCAATTGCCACCAGAATGTATTCATGCCCATTTGACCCTTTCGGTGTGACTGCGTTGATGACGTCAATTCCCCAAACAAAAAAAGGCCATGGTGAAGTCATGTTATATAGCTTTGACGGCAGGATATTCATGCGATTGGCATGAATTTGGCATTTGTGGCATCATCGAACAAAACTGATACAATCCTCCTCCATGGTAGACCAGTAGTAACCTTGCCTAAGAATCTTCTGGGCTAACATTACCCCGTTTATGTGCGCTCTGCACTCTCCCCCATGGATAGCCTCTATTAGGCGCTTTGATTTCTCTACGTCAACACACAACTTGTGCATTCCCAGATGACCTCTCTTGTACAATTTACCTCCGCAGATAATAAATTGAGCAGCCATTCGATGTATTGCCCTTTTATCTTTGGCATTTGCCCCTGGTGGATAAATCTCCATTTCCAAGAAGTTTTAGATATCATAGCACCAAGGGTTTTGATCTTGAACTTCATCTATTGCGGCGATAATCTCGTAGGCCGGCGTATATCTCTGTTCAATGATAATCGAACGCATCCGAACTCCAAACGGGATGCCTATCATAGAAGATAGAGTTGATAAAGCATCAGCGAACCTGTTGTTCTCTCTTAGTAGATGAGTGAAGGTTAGCTTCTTAAACCTAGGAATCAGAACATCCAAGGTCTGGTGATAGATCTTCATCTTTTTTTCTTTGACCTTCCAGTCTCCTTTTGCTTGAGACACAACTAGGTTCCAGTTCCCGATAATGTCCAACTTTTTTGCCCCTAGTTCCAGGACAGCTTCCAAACCAACGATACACACATCGTATTCTGCTTCGTTATTAGTTACCTTGAACCGGAGTTTGAAGGCTAAAGGTATATGGGAATTGTCCTGTGTTATCAGCAACACACCTATCCTATACCCATATTGATTAGACGCTCCGCCAAAGCACATTGTCCAGATCTCTTCCTCGACTTGCAAAATAGCTTCATCTGGGAACAGGTATTCTACCGCTTCATCCCCTTCCACTGGGTGATTTTCCAGGAATTTTGCTACCGCTCTCCCCTTGACAGACTTGCAAGTAACATACTTCAAATCAAATTTAGAGAAAAGAAGCAACCAACGGGCTAGTCTACTCGTAAGCACTGGTTTCTCAAAGAGATATTTAATGAGATCTAATCTCGAAACTAGAATTACAGAGTGAGCTAACAGGTAGTGCCTCAACTTCAAGTAGCCCATACCAAGGCTAGGCAAGCTTTCTCCAGCAGGGTGTAACGGGCTTCATAGTCCAGCATTTTCTTGCTTAGGTAATAGATGGCTTTCTCCACCCTATCCTCAGATTTCTGAGCAAGCATGCATCCCATTATTGTGTCTGTGACTGACAGATACAAAATCAAAGGGTTCCCCAACTTTGGCGGCGACAACACAGGCAGATTCTGA